CCTCCAAATCTGTGGAGTCTGACATAATCTTTTCTGTTAATAGACCAGTTTTTATAATTTGATATTGAAGTCCCTTAAAATTCAAATGGACTGCTCATATTGGAAAGATGAATTTTGCAGCTTAAGGGTTAATGGAACTAAATGTTAAATAAACACACGATGAATTCTTTTGAGAAAAAACTCTTAATTCATGTGTTGGTATATTTTTCTTGTCCTTCGGGATCATTGGTTTCAGCACATATATGTGTTGAAAATTGAGTACCGCTCAAGCCAGTGCTAGGAGTGAGGGATGTTGTAATTTTTTCATTCCCCTTTATGTAGACTCAATTAAACCGAGTCTGCAATTTTCATGTAATTTTGCTGTTTATAATGCCTCCGAGGGATCATTTTTGTTCCAGATATGACATTAAGCTTAAACCTTTATCTATTATCTATTAAGTACCTTTTTTTAAGGCCATGTATGTCTTAAAAGAATTGATTAACAAAATCTGAAACAAATAAGGTAAACTGGTCTAGGACTCAACATATATACTTTATGTTTAAATATTGAAAATAAATATTCACTTTCAAATGCATACCAAAGAATTATGCAACATTTGTATATTCAGTCAAAATGTAAATTTACAAAACACAACGTTGTTCTAATATGATATATTTCCCTGATTTTGTAGAGGCGGGGGCGTTGGTAACTCTGTTACAAATTCTTGTTTGAATTGGTAATAAATCTAACATTTTACTCTTTTGTCATTTTGGATCCTCATGGTAGAGAATAATTTCGCAGCTATGTCATTAATGTAGTTATTATTAAAGGATGCCTGGAACTGAGAGATATAATCTACCATCATCTCTAAGCATTAGTTCTGATGTATGCTTTCTCGTTATACACATATTAATTTACTTAATGACAGAGCTAGATTGTTTTGGAATGAACAAGTCCTAGACTGTCATTTTGTAGATAATGTTTTGAGGATGATCATGACAAAAATAATTAAAATAAATAAAATAAAAGTTAAATTTAACATGAAATATAAGGTGCACTGATCAAAGACAAAATTGTTATAATACGTGTATATTCTTTTTGAGAAAAAAAAACTTGTATATCTACACGTTATCCTAGTTAAACATGAAAACAAAATGATAGATGTGTTGCTATCGTAATAGGTTTTTGCAAGAAAAAAGTACTAATACATGTATTTAGGGTTTAGAGAATATACAATAAAACATTTGTATGAAAAGAAAAAAAGAAACATAAATATACACAACGTAAGAAATGTCCTTAATTATATTCCTATTCTTTTAATGTTTACATTGTTCTCAAATCTTAAAATGACATGTAATTTCAAGATATATGTCGCTTTCAACACATTTGTTTGAACTAATGTAAAAGCAAATAAAGAGCTTTTAGTTCTTCACTTAGATAACGATGGGTTTCTTACAATATTGTTAAAAATAATTTCGATGACGTTTCAACAGTCCCACAAGCAAATTAATTTCAAATAAAGTAACATCGTTGATGAGAGAGGCAAGGGGATCATTGTGTTGTAGACTGAATACTTCATCTGCACAAAAAAAGCATTTTTGGAACATGGCCTAGAATGGAAATGTTACAAGTTATTTGTCTACGTACTATATAGACCCACAGGGCTGTTGGACTCATTTTCACTGTACATGTTCTGTTATAAACAAGTACACTGAATCCAAATATTTGTTTTATTAATCAGTAGTCTTGTACTCACTTAAACGTATGATATATTATAAAAAAAGCCAAAGAAACGTAATGTAGTATATCTATAATGTCGCAGTGAGGTTTAAATATCTTTATACGAGCATAATTATCGGGAGGATCACTAAAATGTATGAATCTTTATTACGTTTTCAAGATACTTATCTTGCATACTGTTCTCGTTTTGTATTGTGTCGTATAGGAATTACTAGTACTGACAAACATATGTTTTTCATATAGAAATTTGTCAATAGTCTATGTTATATCTGAGAATCATATACGGTCCGACCCCAGTTATTCGACAACCCTTTATTCGAATACCCGGCATTATCCGAAGTCGATCAGCGGTCCCGTTTTATCTCTATATAAATCAATATAAATACGAGCGTATTATTCGAAACGCATTATCCGAATACCTCCTATTTTTCGAAGTAAAATTTCGGTACCGATTATACAATTATAAAAGAATTTCACACCTATTTTTCGAAGCCAGGCTTAATTATTATTCGAAGCCAAACTAATTGGCACAGATCCACTCGCTGACCGGTCGACTTGTGAAAAATATCAACAGTCATGTGTGTATTTAGATAATCATGATAATAACTCTTTGTGTGTTCTTTAATCAACTTTAATTACTGAAATTGAAAAGCTATGCACCGTGCCCGATTTTTTTAACTGTTATTGCTTGAAGATGACAGCAAAAATTTTCATACATACCGAAAATGTGAATTTGTCAAAACATCCAAACCATTTTTTACATTAATTTTAACGCTACATTAGAGCCTTTATCCTAATCGAAAATATCAGAGTTTAGCTGTAAATACCGTAGTAACAACACAGCCATTATCAAGGCTTTGCGCGAAACGTAACGATACATAATGTAGAATAAAATGCAAGTATTTATGTCTTCAATGTCAATACAATAATTGTTATGCATCTTTTCTTTAATATTTATTTTTCTCAATTGATTACAGGAAGTAAGTAGTTTGTTGTAAGGGGTAGTTTGCTATGATTGGTCAAAGTGGAGTAGTTTTCGTCTATCATAATATTACGATTTCGATTATTGGAACCCACCGATTATTCGAGTAAATATTCAGTCCCAGGCACTTCGAATAAACGGGGTTGGACTGTATAGTGCAGGAAATTATTGTGGTTATATTAATCTGGCTTTTACATTTCTTCCTGAAAAAAGTATGAATATATCTAAAATTATTGCCATTTATGTAATTGATATTATTTTATTAAAAAGAAACCATTGTCTCTAAACTTGTTTATATATGGCAAATAAGATAAAACGTCTTTACCGCTACACATATATTTAGGCATCCTGAAACAATGCTAGCACAAGATTTATTTGTTTCTGTCAACATTCCTTTTAACGATATTGAATTTGAATTTAATTTCGATAAGATGTTGTAAGTGATATTGGGAAATTCAGATATTGAATGGTTTTCAGTACATCATCACTTGTCTAGCTGTGTAATAAAGTATTTATGTCATAGCTAGATGTTACGTCTGTTGTATCATTTAACATGTTTTTGTACATAAGTCATAAATTAAATGTTCTGCTGTAGTAATCATACGGCAAAATCAAACTAATTTCATTTATAACAATTTTTTTGTCATGACAACATCAGGTACCACTTAGTTTTGTATCATTAATTTTTTTATCTGGTTGGTATTTATTTGTTCGACTAGAACACACTTGCTAGGATAGCTTATTTTACAGCTAGAATGTGTATTAGTTCTTTAAGCATTGTTTGCAGAAACATCGTGTGTTCTAACTTTCAGGTACCTTTCTGTCTATCTATATGTACTTATTATTGACAATAAACAATTGCCACGTCAATACTTATCAAGATAGAGCAAGGGTAGCTTTTTTACCCTTATACGTCAATGATGCTTCTGCTCACAATTTTTATAATAAATAAGGTAACTTTCGAAAAATAAATCAAGGTTTCACTGCGTAATGCAGTGTGAGGTTATAAATTAAATATGTAAATAAGATGTGAAATAAATATGTATATCCCATATATTCTTTAGAGTTTTCGAGCTTTATATTTTAGACCATTATAGCATAACACAGTTAGATCCTGAGATCTGACACATATTACTTGACTTTAAATGTTGATTTATATTTGACGTATAATCAGCAAAGAGCAATGAATAAAAGAAGATATAGGTAAAAAGTTATATAAAAAAAGTTATATAAGTACACATACCGTAAAAGTGCTACTTTGAAGAGTTCTGCCATTAAGTGTTAGCCACTTAAAAAATCATACGCATTATAAAACATGACTTCCGATGAAAGATATTTATTTTCTTCCTTGTCAGATGAGAACAAATCCTACATATAATCCTTGAATTATCAATCACTAGTACCTTCTAGGCTTTAAAAATTCTTTGAGTGGAAATTTGCGTTTATCATCAAACCGTAACAATTAGTATTATCATTATAAATTATTATTATTATTATTATTATTATTATTTTTATTATTATTATTTAATAATGATAATAATTATTATTATTATTATTCTAACAAATCTCTATCAGCAGCAATTTGACTCGATTTATCAGCGAAATCAGCTGATATAAAATCGATTTAAAGATAAACTTTTACATTTCAATTCTAACTGTAATAATTTAATGGTATAATTTGTCTTTTTTTTAAGTTTTGATGTTGTAAAAGTTCATTTTTGTAAGATAGCTCATAAATGCATACATATGCAGCATGCCTATAAGCTTCTGTGTTCCTTTCAAAATTTGAAAATAAAAACAACACACACGGTAGATACAAATTTGAAATGTTTCGCACATCAAACTTTTTGCTTAAATTTATGTTATGTTTAAAAGAAAAAACGCGGAACAAACAGTCTGATATAGTTCTATATGCGGATTTGAAACCATTTGCATCTCAGGTTTCAAATGTTTGTAGTTTTAAGCCATTAATTTCCCTGACTTTTTGTTCTATTGCTCTATATAATTTCATGAAGCAGGGATAAATCTGAAATTTTCTTTTAATAATTGATCAGTTGCTGAATTTTATTAAATAGATTGAAATCCAATATTTTGAATTGCTGCCGCAAAATATAATAATTCAGTTCCATGTAAACGCAGGGAAAATACAAAAGAGCAGTTGTTTAATTGTTAAATTATGTTTGTTACTTTGACATGATGTTTAATTGACAATTTCATAAGCCAGTGCTTTGGTGCTTGAACGGTAGCTTCGCTTTGCACTAAAAATACTAAGAGCATGTTTCATCAAAGCGAACCTACCCAGTCTGTGCTTTGCCTTGAGTCCTGTCCTGTTTGGTGTCGTGCTGGGCTCCTTGCCGGTAGTCATGTGTGTTGGCTGATATGGGAGTAGCGTTAACTGTACGTCGCATTCCTTAGTTGATCTTTTTTCATATTCTAACATTTTGACAGTTTCCGTTCTTTCAAGATTTCGTTCTTTTCCCATTCTGCGGTGTTATAAAAGATTATATAATCATTTTTCTTTTAAGACTTAAAAAGTTTTTTTACATGAATTCATCTAAATCAATATTTTCTCTTGAAACTTTGCATAATCTTATTATTCGTATGATAACAATTCGTAGTTTATATCACAATTGAAGCAAAATGGATCACTCAAAAGGCAGCCGATAATAATTTATGCAGCTGATAACGAGTTTGGAAAGTATAGTTCAAGCATCATCCATGCACAAAAATCTGGTGCCAGATTTTCTGATTTCCCCACGGAAATCAAAGAAACAATCTATCAAACTGTCATTCAAGCTCAGTTTTAACATTGCTCAAATGGCTTCTTAAACACAATGTTATATTGCTTAATTCACTATCATTTTGTCTCCAGTAATTAATCAGTCAGTCAACAAGAACATCTTGATTTATATTTAACTTACATACTAGGAAGTATTATTCTATTTTATGTACCTAAATTAACATCAAAGTTCAGAGAATGACAGTATTTTAGTATTATGCAAGTTATCAGTGATGATTTTCTTATTAAATGGTATTAATGTCCATTGTTTACTTTGATAATGGCATGCGCAAGTAATTCAATAACTTTTTTTAAATACGTGAAATATGTATTTTTGAATATGAAAATGTTATTCTATATAAAATGTTATTTATAATATACATGTACAGGCAAAAAATGTTAATTGTTGCTTTAGACAATTAAAATTTATTATCATATTTTAATGACATGTTATAAAAAATCTCCTCTGGTGTTATCTCTAACATTCAAGTTAAAAATAAAAAAAATAAAAAAAAAACTAAAAAAGTTTTTAAAAAAATTTTAAAAAAAAAGGTGTGTGGCAAAAGGGGTTATTTTTTGTTTGGGGAAATTTTTCAATTTTTTAAATTTTTAAAGGGCCAAGTAAGTTTAAATTTTTTTTTGGAAACAGAAAAATAAATGTTTGATAAGATTCAAAAAATAAAGACCACTTTTTAAAAAAAACCCCAATTTAGTTTATTTGAGAAATGTCTAAACATTTTTTTTAAAATTTTCCCCAAAACAAGTTTTATTATGAAACCCCTTGGATATTTTAACACCCCTTGTGTTTTTTTAGAAAAATTAAAGTAGAAAAAAAATTTAAAGAAAAAACCCCCGTGTGGGGACCAAATATTTTAAAAACTGTTTTAAAAGGAAAACTTTTTTTATTGAAAAGGGGAATGAAAAAGAAAAAAAAGATTTTAAAAAAATTTTTAGTCAAAATTTCCTTTGGATGGAGGAAAAAAAAATTTCCCAATGTTTTTGGTGTCATATTCAAAATTAAAGCCTTTAACAAAAAAATGAAATTAAAATGCAGAACAAAAAAATTTCTATAAAATCATAAAAATAAAAAGGAAAAAATTTTGTTTTTAAAAAATTTTTAAAGGGGGCAAAAAATATTGTAACATATATCAAGCAGCATACATTCAAAGATTTGAAAATGAGTTAACATAACAAAATTGTAATTATTTTCAATTCAACACATAAAGAAGCATCATTCTATTTTGTAGTTTAACGATTTACAAATGCAAAAAAAGGTTTAAGTAATTTCATATTTTGACATCTTTTAAAACGTATGAGTTCTTATTTTTACACTTTCGATTTTTTCTCTCTCGGGAAATAACAATAAAATATCAAGTTATTGTAGCTGCTTCTACTTTAAATCGGAGAAACAAAATATATTTCCTACCATCAAACTGTCGACCTATTTCCTGTTTTGTCTTACTTTTCTACATCTGTGATTTACTAAGTAATTATAACAGAAAATAAAAATCCTCGAGTTACTTTAAACCTAACAGTAAAACAGACCAATTTAAACTTTTAACTTTCTAGGAAATACCATGTGCATTGAAAAGCTTTTTTTTTTGTCGAAAAGAGATTTAAAGAACTGGTTGTTTTGCGGATTATGTATATTAAATAAAATATTAAAGAAAAGATTTCCAATAAATTTTCTCGAATGATCATGTTTAAATAATGTACAAACAATAACTCTGAAAAAGGATTAACAAAAAAGCGGACAAGAGTTTAAGAATCACACAGAACACTTTACTGATTCGTACAACATCCCAATTCTTTCAAATAGATTGAACTTTACTAAAGACGTGCCTTGACTTATAAACTTATAATAAACTAGGTCCGGGAAAGATCCGTTTCAAAAGAAGCACCTAATTTCATACTAGTTTGTTTCAATATCGACTGGTTTTCACGATGTATATTTGTCACCATGCTACTCTTTTTTAAATGTTTCCTTAACTTGAAAACGCACATTGGTCACACATATAAATATACAATATCTTTAATATTTATCATTCAACACTCAAACATTATTTGCGTGATAAAAAGATTTTTTTAATTTGTTATAAAATTTATGTTAATGATATACGTTGATTTTTTATCTTCAGGAACATTATCAGTTTCTTTTCCAATCATATTTTCAACTTGCTTTGACTGTTTCTATATGCTGTTTTCATTTGATTTTCTACTTTATGTATAATGACTTTACCGTTTTCATTTTGTGAACGAATCTTAATAAGATAAATGCTTGAATTCCCTAAAATATATTGGCATATTTCAGTTTCTTTCAGAAACATTTTCGTGATGAACATCGTAAATAAATACAAGTATTAAAATATATGCTTTGATCAGTTACAATGAAATTGCTTTATATTTGCTAATTAGTTCAATACAAATGCCTCTCACTTTCGTAACTATTAATAAGTGCAAAAATCAGGAGATGAGTAGCTCAGAGTTTACCAGTAGGCAGCAAATATAACTACAATATGTACATTTATCTAAGAAAAATGTTCTACTACTTACAGACTTTATAAGTTACATTTTTCTTTGTATTGAGGCAATACCAATCTTTTTCTTTATTTCTACAACGATGACTTTATCATTTAAAGCTGCATTTTATAAATATATCAAATATTTTCCGTCGACATAGAAACATAAAGACCAAGCATTATATAATTCATTAACCTTTTTAACAGTATTGTTGTAAAACTCATTAAATAACTTTAATAAATTATAATTTTAACAAGGAAACCCCCATTGTAACACTTAAGTTATATGAATTATAAAATGCAAATCACCCCGAAATGTAACTACTTACGTTTTCATGAAACTTATAAAATGCAGCTTTAAAACACTCCTTGTTTAAAAAGATATGATGGCTTAGTGAAACATTCTTGAATACAAACTTGATATTTTGATACCATTGTTCATTAAAGTGTTCTTTGCACATTAAGAGATCGAATATGAATTAATTACTTTAGAGAAATACGATGCGTCAATTCTATCTTTTAGAGGGCATCTGTGTCCATTAGCATAAATGAATAAATGTTGACTACCATTAACAACAATCAGACGCTCATTCAAATTTGTCTTGTTATTTGTATTGATTATTTCAATTTTAGTTGTTCACTGAGTTGTTAATGTCACTGACAGGCAAATAAATTGTCACCCTGATTAGGTCTGTATCCCGAATTGAACATGTTATACGGGTTTAAAGCGATTGAAAACATAGATTACATAAACACCAGTTTTATCTTCAATCACCGTATTAATTTTCGGCATGATAATATATCATTTAAAATTATTGATTGACTATTGTACGTTTAATGTTGAAGTTTGCGTATTGTTGAAGCTAGCGCTGGGGCGTGAGAGTTGTTGCACCTTTTTCTTTCTTAACAAAAACGGAACTCATGACTTTTCAACTGTTTGTGTTTTCTTTTACTTTATTAAGTGTCTGTGTACTACAGTACGAGTATGTATAAAAAACAACAATAACAACACAGAGTTAATCTGGACATAGCACTGACATTGTCATAACATTTGATTTTACGATAAAATATTTCATAATATTTAAATGTAAAAGAAAGTAATACATGCATATATTTTTTAAACGGATTTCATTGAAACAAATCATAATCTTTTGGCGTTTAAAGAATGTTGATTCTGTTGATTCAAATATAATTTGAAGTAAAACATGTTTCCTTTCTTCTTGTTATCCTTGATACTGACTCAAATAAGAATAATATTTACTAACCTATTTGTAAGTAACCTGTCAAAGAATTTGCCTTTTTTGTAAAAGCTGTACAAAAACTTCGACACATCATCTTACCAGCCTCCTAAGATCAATAAAATCCTGATTAGGTACATTCAGGCAAAAGTAATTGATTAATGATTACTTTAGATGGACTTATTGTACAAACAGCTAATGCAGCTTTATGTTTTAAAGGAAACTGCAGGAAATGATACTGAAAAACAAATATTGATCTTATTCTTTTTGATGTTTAATTGACAATGGTAAAGTTTATATTTTCATCCGTGTAGCTCACGAATTATATCATCATATATTGTCCAATGAACAATACAATGTTTATTTGATAATACAATGTGTTTTCATCTAATCATAACGCTATATTAACATGTAGCTGAAAATAGTTGCATCTTATTGAAATCAGATATGTTTCAAGAATTAAATGCATATTTGATTATATCAATGACCTGTGCTTCTTTCGTTAAAATGAACATGCTCATGTACTCAATACATGTAAATTTCCTGAGAAGCAATTAATGAATCATCACCGAGAGTTTGTGTCCTGACATTGGATTCTGAAAAATACTTTGATCCAAACTACAACTCGTAAATAATATATAAATTATATTGTTTTAACGTCGCTTTAAGTGACTCATTTTGCGTATCAGATAATCTGCTAAAGGAAGTTACTGTACCTCGGACTGGTTTCTGAAACAAATTAATAATTGAATGGTCAATACGGAGAAGTAAAAAAATCCTAAGTAGCCGATGATTCAATATGAAATACAGATTACAAGATTATGTGTTACTAGCCCAAATTTATGTTTTAATATTTGTTTTGCAATATTATTGTAGTTCTACCAAATTTATTTATTTAAAGTTTTTTACTTTACATTTTCTAATTGTTCATGATCAATTTAAAGTG